GCTGAGATCCGGCCACTGCACTCCAGCCTGGGCGACAGAGCGAGACTCCATCTCAAAAATAATAATAATAATAACAACAACAATATTATATGCTTGATGATGTGCCACAGGTTTCTGAGGCTCTGTTCCTCTTTTTCCAACTTGTTGAGATGGAGGCTTACTGAATTTCCAGTCCTTCTTCTTTTCTAATATATGTATTTTAGGCTACAAATTTCCATCTAAGCAAGGCTTTAGCAGTATCAATTTTTTGAAAATTATATCTAAGTACAGTATACATACAGAATTCACGTAAGCGTAGCATCACATGAGGCACCTGGTCAGTACTGTTTCTCAGTGTTTAGTAAATGTTTTTTTATTACTACTGTGAATTGTCCTTTGTCTCTTATGCCATAGCATCCTGGCAATGGGGAGGGGTTTGAGGGTGGGATGGTAAAGGGATTCTGGGATTCCATTTTATTGGAGCATTTTTTTCCCCTTACTTCTCATAAGGTGACTGTTGGGGAGAGATCTGTGTCACTTATTGCAGTTTGTTACATGCTGGAATGCTGCAGATTTTGGAATGCCATCTATATCAGTTGTCTGGAATCTGGCTTCACATAGGGTTCTTGTCTTCTGTTCAGCTGGATTGCTACTGGTTTGCTGGGACTTCTGGAGTCCTGATGATCATTCTGCAAAGGAAGACTCAGGGATGGCCATATTGGCTGTGGCCCTCATCTGCTGGGCCATAGTGGTTATTGTGTTGTTTATTTTGCTGTGTCCTAGAACAGGGGCTTTACTGAACCACCCATGTCCTCTGTCTGAGAGCTTTGCAACTTACAAGGACTGTTCTCTTCCTTCAGGGGCTGGGATGACTTGCTGATTTAAGCCCCTTTGTTGGGATACAGAGGCGTAGTCATAATGACTGGGATTTTTGTTGCTCATCTTCGAGGAAGATTTGTTTAGGCTTGCTGTTATCCACCATATCTTGTATTTAGAGTAGTTTGCTGGCTAACTCACTGGGTCCTTTGGCCTACTGCAGTTTCAGTTGCTACAACTCCCTCTGTCTGTGATTCAGGGTAGGGAGAAGTACTGGGTTGTCATTTTTGGAGTCAGGGTTGGGGGCCTGGGGTTTGAGAATCAGAGGTCATGGGTTGAGGTTTAGGGATTAGAGGTTGGGATTAGGAGGTTAGAAGATAAGCATCAAGGCCTCAGGATCTAGAGACCAGGTCGAGGATTAAAGGGTTATAAATTTAGGGACTAGGGCTTGGGTTAGGATTGGAACTGAGAATCAGAGGAGTTAAGGTTAGAGTAGGGGGTGGTCCTCAGGGGTCAAAACGAGAAGAAATGCAAGGGTCTCTGGAGAGACTGGAAAAACTTTCCTCAGAAGTTCCTAAAGGTGACTGGGTATCAGGAAACTAATGGGAAGTGACTTCTTATTGCTGCAGAGAGAGAAGCCATGAGGAGTTGGGGACAAACCTTCCAAGAGGGCAATACCTTGTGTAGGCAGACACTGAAGTCACTTAAATGTGCAAGTTAAGTCTTTAAATTGATGACAGTTATCGTTTATTTTCACTCTTCTCATTCTCAGTGATTTCCCTCAAAAAAACTCCAAGAAACCAAAACACATTTTTTTTACCACCTTTATTAAGCCTGTCACCAAGTTTCTGCTCACACCTGCCACAGGTGACCCCCGATCCATTCTCCCTGTCCCCATCCTCTCCATACATCCAAGTACACACCAGGAACACCCTCAGTTCTAATCTCCTCACCCTGGGCTGCTTCAATAGACTCAAGTAACGCAACCACCAACCTGCTGCCCAGATTCCTAATTACACGTGAAAGGCCGTTATGACTTGCTTCCCTCAGGCCCTATGCACACCTGGGCTCCAGCCAAGGATTCTCCTTCATCAACCCCCATATTAGCTACGATCCTTCGTGCCAATGTATCGCTCCCAGCTCAAAAGACTTTGAAGGGCTGCCTGTGCCCTCGCGATCCAGCGCTGAAGTTCTTTGCCCTCCGCGTACTTCTGACAAATACTGGGCATCAACCATGTTCCAGGAACTACCCTAGGCATAGAAAATAACAAGGTGGGGAAGGTTCCCGTCGGTGTCCCTCTTGGCCGGCAGCGCCCCCGCCGGCCCGCCACCCTGAACGGGCCCGTCCGGTCCTCTGGCTTCCGCCACTCTGCGTAGCACTGCGTCGGCATCCGGCCCGGCACTCCCTCCCGCCGAGGGCGCCCATGCCGGCTTCCGAGGGGCGATTCCCACAAGCCAGTTCCACCGCCCAGGACGGCTTCATCCTCTAGTCCCGTCATGGCAAGTGCACCCGCCTAGGAAACCCGCTGCCCGCTAGGGTTCCTCACACCTCGCTTCACCCCGCGGCTTAACCGGACGAGGACCCCGAGCAGGGCTGCCCAACAAGCGCCTGAAGGACCCCGGGAGGGCCGCAGGCTATCCAGCGTGGTGCCTGGTGGCCGGGCCCTGTGCGGGAGGACAAGGTGAATCCGGAGCCGGACTTCCGCTGCACTGGGGCTCCGAATGACCTAGAATCTGGGGTGCGCTTAGGCCCCGGGTACGAGGGCTGCGCGGTTGTAGGCCTAGAGAAGTAGGGGGCTGGGTCGAGAGTTGAAGCGGTGAGCCCGGGGGGCTGGAGGGCGGGGCCACAGGGGTAGCGGCGCAGATCCGGGCCGCGCGTGGGTGGACTAGGACTGGGCCGCCGCCCTCCAGGAAGCCGAGTGGTGGCGCGCTCGAGTGCTGGGGGGCAATGTACCGATAGCTTTACTTTTTTTTGGAGACGGAGTCTGGCTCTGTCGCCAGGCTGGAGTGCAATGGCGCGATCTTGGCTCACTGCAGCCTCCGCCTCCAGAGTTCAAGCAATACTCCTGCTTCAGCCTCCCTAGTAGCTGTGAGTATAGGTGCGCGCCGTCACGCGTGGCTAATTTGTGTGTGTGTGTGTGTGTGTGTGTATTTTTAGTAGAGACGGGGTTTCACCATGTTGGCCAGGATGGTCTTGATCTCCTGACCTCGTGATCCGCTCGCCTCGGTCTTTCAAAGTGCTGGGATTACAGGCGTGAGACACCAAGCCCTGCCTAAAATTTTTAATTCTCTGATGGAGCCACCTTTAAGTCGAACAGGATTCTCGACGTGTCAATTTGTTGTAAACCAAGAGTGAAGACCGCCACAACTTAGCTGCATTAATAAAGGAACCATGTTCTCCCTACAGGCCGCGTGTTCTTGCTACGAGAACCCCTAGCAGCCTGGCCTTGGAATAGCTGGATCAGATGCATTCATTGGTTCTTTCAGATACTTTTAAGACCCAGCTGTGTGCTAGGTACTTCTTACACCTTCTGGTGAGGAAGATGGAACTGAAGGGAATTTGCAAGGAGCTGTGAGAAAGTACAACGGGAAGTGAGCTAAGATCATTAAGGTGAGCAGGAGGCAACCAGAGAAAGCACATTCAGGACTGTGAAAACTCACACAAAGGCTGTCAAGCCAGAAGGTCTTTCGAAACTGAAAGGCCCATGAGGTTGGAGCTAGAGAAACTTATGGAGTGTGGGGTTCCAGATGAGGCTAGAGAGGTACGTGTGGAGCCACAAGATCATGCAGAGCCTGGGAGGCTGTGATAAGGATTTTGGTTTTTATTCTAAGAGCAGGGTGCCCTTTAAAGGGTTAAGGAGGAGAACCATATGATTAGATTTGCATGTTTGGTTCACTTTGGCTGCTGTGTGGAGATTGTAGAGGTTGGCAGGACAGAAACTGGGAGACCAAAGAGGAGGCTGTCAAGATGTCCAGAGAGGAATGATGATGTCGTAGAGTTATGGTGATAGTAGTTGAGGGTTGGAGAATGGTATGGGTTTTGAGATATATTAGGTAGGGAAAATTGCCCGAAGTTAGTGATTGTGTGGATATGAAGAGTGAGGGAGGGGAGGTGTCATGGATGTCTCTGTAGACAACTGCTGAAAATGACATGTTACCACCTGTGGCATTAGGGAGAGTGGGTTGGCTGATCTTGTGCTGGTTAGATTGGGCGTGGCTTTATGGTTTGAGTGGAAAATCAGGTTGAAAGCTGTAGAAAGGACATGAATAGAAGAGACCATGACATAATTGCTTGCGCCAAATTCTAATACCACCTTTAACATGATTGACAGGCTTTAGGATAAAATAAATGAGAATGTTGTTTAGACTTTGTCCCTGCCTGTGTTCTGGAAGACTTCTCTGTATTTGTTGACAAATGAGAGATTTTATACACACACACACACACACACACACACATATATAGTAGAGTCAGGGTCTTGCTTTATTGCCCAGGTCAAACTCCTGGCCTCAAGTACTCATATTGCAAGTGTGAGCCACTACACATGGCCAAATGAGAGATAATATTGAGATAAGATTTTGAAGGCCGGGCGCGGTGGCTCAAGCCTGTAATCCCAGCACTTTGGGAGGCCGAGACGGGCGGATCACGAGGTCAGGAGATCGATGACCAATCCTGGCTCAACAGGTGAAACCCCATCTCTACTAAAAAAATAATACAAAAACAGCCCGGGCGAGGTGGTGGGCGCCTGTAGTCCAGCTGCTCGGGACGGCGAGGCAGAATTGCCGAACCCGGAGGCGGAGCTTTGCAGTGAGCGAGCATCCTGGCCACTGCAACTCCAGCCTGGGCGACAGAGCGAGACTCCGTCTCAAAAAAAAAAAAAAAAAGATTTTAGACAAAGTCTTTTTTTTTTTTTTTTTTTTTGAGACGGAGTCTCGCTCTGTCACCCAGGCTGGGAGTGCAGTGGCGCCCTCTCGCTCCTGCAAGCTCCGCCTCCCGGGTTCACCCCATTCTCCTGCCCCAGCCTCCCGAATATCTGGGACTAACAGGCGACCGCCACCATGCCACCTAATTTTTTGTATTTTTAGTAACGACGGGGTTTCACCGTGTTAGCCAGGATGGTCTCGATCTCCTGACCTCGTGATCCTCTCGTCTCGGCCTCCCAAAGTGCTGGGATTACAGGCGTGAGCCACTGCGCCCGGCCACAAAGTCTTTACTCCTGCAGAGGTGATCGGTTTCTCACATATAACTCGGATTTCACAGTTGGAAAAGACCTCAAAATTCCCGTTAGTCCAGTTTATAAAATGCTTTTATGTCCATTATATCATTTCTACAATGTTGAGCTCTTACACCATGCTAGACACTAGGAATACAAAGATGAATAGAAATAAGACTATATAGGTTTATTTAGTAAATAAAATTGATCAAGCACCTTTGTGCCAGGCACTGTTTCAAATGCAAAATGGTTATGACTTGTTCCTGACATTGGAGTTCCGTGTTGACAGGTCTTGCCACTGAGGACAGCTGAGTGTATTAACAGGTTTGATTTGGGCACAGGAGATCCTGATCTCTCCATAATATTAGAATAGAGATGGTGTTTATCCAGCAGACTTTTTGGTATCCTGGCAGCACCTCAGTTCCTGTCCATCAATATTCCAATTCTAGATTTGATAGGAGAGCACTATGGGATGGAAGATTTTAAGAGATTATACCCTTGTGGATAGGCTGTTGAGGAGTATAAGTTGCAAATCCTCTGTAAAATACAAAAGGAAGTTAGGAAGGGATATTGGCAGAGACAGGTAGTATTTAAACTTGAGTTTCTTTTGAATGGGTAATTCCTTCATAGGCTTACAGTTGCACCAGATTGCATACTCCACGGGGAAACTTGAATGCTCCCTCTACCACTCCTCTCCCTTGATCCCATGACCCCAAATGGGCAATTAAATAAAATAATGTATATGGCCTTAAGATGAAACTGTCAGGTTCTTTATGAGTGTCAGGAGTGAGAGCACTCGTTGGCTTGCAAGGCTACATGGCTTCAATGTAGGGAAGGCTGGGAGTGCAGTCCTGAATGGTTCCTAATACAGCTTTCTAATGGCAGGAGTGAGATGGCCTCAATCTTGCGAAGCCCTCAGGCTCTCCAGCTCACTCTAGCCCTGATCAAGCCTGATGCAGTCGCCCATCCGCTGATTCTGGAGGTAAGAATGAATCCTAAGCCTCTACCACATGCCCTGGGAATTGCCACTGCTTCAGGTGCCATCAGGCCACTTATGGTGACTGACAACACAGACTTGTGCTGGATGCTGTGGAGGCAAAGCTGGAAGCCGTGAACTCTGACCTGCGGAGGCTAAGTATCTATTGGAGACTTGAGGCAGATCTAAAATATAAGAAAGAACCCAAAGCAATAATAGAACCAAATCTCAAGACAATGTATCTGTGTTCGTTTCTATCGCTACATAACACATGACTCCAGACTTGAGAGCTTAAAACAACACTCATTTGTTACTTCACAGTTCAATAGTTTAGAGGTCCATAGACTTGGCTGAATTGTTTGCTTAACGTCTCAAAAGGCCAAAGTCAAGGTATTGGCTGACCAGGCCCTTATCTGGAGGGTCTGGGGGAAGAATTCACTTCCAAACTCATTCAGGTTGTTGGCAGAGTTGATTTCTTATGATGGAAGGACTGAGGCTGCCATTTCTCTGTTGGCCTTCAGGCAGGAACTCCTTTCGGTTTCTAGAGACCACTCACATCCCTCATCACATGGCCCACTCTATCTTCAAGACAGCTACAGTGCATCGAATCCTTCGCATGCTTTGAATCTGACTTCCTCAGCCTCTAGCCAGAGAAAATGCCTGGCATTGAGAAGCCTTCACAATTCTAATCCCACAGGGCTCACGTGATTAGGCCCACCTGGATAATCTCCCTTTTGATTACAGCAGAATCAACTGATGAGTAACTTAATTATACCTCTAAAATCCCTATTGTTATGTAATGTAACATAATCATATTGCATCATATTCACAGCCCTGGAGATTCGGGTGGGAAGTCTTGGTGGGGCTCGGGGTCATTTTCACATTCTGCATACCACAGTTTAATAAATACTAACAGAGTAGCACTGCTAAGTAAGCCCACTATGGTGCAGAGGAAGATCCAAGCAGTCAGGAATGAGAGCCTGGAAGTGGCAGGACTCAACTGGGCCTCAAAGGAATGGTAAATTTTGGTTAGTGCCAGGAGAAGGACAGGTGTTGCACAGAAGGGAGATGCTGAGAAAAGAATGCATGTGATGGGTCTGAGGGCCGCAGGCAGCCTGGATTGGCGAGACTAGAGAATTGGTACAGAGCAAGGAAAGTATAACCTTGAGCACTGGGCTAAAGTGGTTGCATTTCATTCCTTGAATAACAGGAACTACTTAACACCTGACCAGAGTGTGACATGTAAATTACAGAGTTTCTCATCTATCAAGTGTGATGGTTTGGAGGGAGTGAGAGAAACTCAAGGCAGGACCACTAATAAGACTTTTACGGTGGTCTGAGTGGGGGGTCCTGTGGTCTTGAGCTCAAGGGGTTACAGGTATAGAAGAGTAGAGACAGTGCATCCTACCTATCCCCTTTCACCCAAGGTGCACACTGTAGCTGTGTGACTGAAGGTCTTGACCTCACCCCACCTCATCTTCTCACCCTCCAATGGGACAAACCCTCAAGTCCTGAGCAACAAGTGGTCCTCATGGTTTCTTTTGGTCAGTTTCAGTCTCCTGATTGATTTTTATTTTGGGGGTGGTCTTTATTCAGGCTGTTCATCAGCAGATTCTAAGCAACAAGTTCCTGATTGTACGAATGAGAGAACTACTGTGGAGAAAGGAAGACTGCCAGAGGTTTTACCGAGAGCACGAAGGTAGGATCAGTAGTCCTCTGAACGGAAGGTGCCTCAATCCAAAGAGGCCCGTAAGAGAGATTTTACCTGGAACACAATGGCAGGCTCTCTGACCTACCAACCGTGTACAGTTGCAGCCAGTTTTCTAAAATCTTGGTTTAAAACACACACTTTTCATGATTATCCATCTTTTTTTCCCAAGGAGGGTTCTACCTTGTAGTCCCAACCAGAAACTTAGTTTTATGTCCTGATGTCAGTAGTTAACATATAGTGAATGAATGTTCACCGTCAGACATCGTCCTCATGCTCATTTTTTCATTCAGTTTTCCCAACAACTCTAAAAAGTAGGTGTTCTTGTATTCCTCGTACACAGATTAGGAAGCCAAGTTTTGGAGGTTAATGATTTACCCAAAACTACGCAGGTTGTAAGTGGCAGACCTTAGATTCAGACCCAGGTTTGTCAGACTCCAAGGTGCTTGTTCTTTTCTCTAAAACAATTTTTATTCTAGGTAAGGAGGTAGAAGTACAGAAAGTTGCCTTGGGCACCAGGATGAAGGTATCTTGATGAAGGTCCTCTCTCTTTGCAGGGCGTTTTTTCTATCAGCGGCTGGTGGAATTCATGGCCAGGTACTTCTAATTTGGTTCCAGCATCTTTATCCACTGAGGCGAATCTCCCCTGCTGCTAAATGGATTTGTTCATTTCACTGCCATTCTTTAAAGTTGTAATCAGGCCAGGCGGCCAGGCACAGTGGCTCATGCCTGTAATCCCAGCACTTTGGGAGGCCAAGGCGGGTAGATCACTTGAAGTCAGGAGTCTGAGACCAGCCTGGCCAACATGGTGAAACCCCGTCTCTACTAAAAATACAAAAAATTAGCCAGGCATGGTGGTGGGTGCCTGTAATCCCAGCTACTCGGGAGGCTGCAACAGGAGAATCACTTGAATTCGGGAAGTAGAGGTTGCAGTGAGCCAAGATTGCACCATCATATTCCAGCCTGGGCAACAGAGTGAGATTCCATCTCAAAAAATAAAGTTGTAATCAATGTCAAGTCTGAAGAAACATGGGTCTGGGCTGTCACTGAGCCAATGCTGACCTGTTAGGCACCTGTCCTGTGGTGGTTTAGGAAAGTCCCGTTGAATGCTGCATAACCACCCTGCTGATCTCTTCAGGCTCTATGTACACCAGCAGGGGCTCTGTATCTCCTATTTGAAGCAGCATTGGTACTCAGCTGGAAAGGCAGGAAAACTCTTGTAGAGTGTGTGTTTATTCAGGCCCTGCTCACAGCACACCCTCCTAGTCTAGATGGCCAGATTCCTCACATTTGCTTGTTTTGTTCGCAGCGGGCCAATCCGAGCCTACATCCTTGCCCACAAGGATGCCATCCAGCTCTGGAGGACGCTCATGGGACCCACCAGAGTGTTCCGAGCACGCCACGTGGCCCCAGATTCCATTCGTGGGAGTTTCGGCCTCACCGACACCCGCAACACCACCCACGGTTCGGGTCAGTCCCCTGTCCATAGCCATAGGATATTTTGGGGTTAGCGGGCAGGCTGTGTGATAGAGTTGACAGCCAGGTCCCTCCAATGAGCTTTCTTCCATTTGTGTTTCTGGTCTTTGTAGCCATGTTGGCAGATGTGGCCTGTGGACTTTCTTTACATGCCCCAGGACTGAAGGGGCAGGCAGAGTAGAGGCTCAGGATTCTCAACCTGATTATGACTGCCTCTTGCTTCTACCATGTGAGAACCCCTTCTCTGTCTTATCTCCCCTTACAGACTCTGTGGTTTCAGCCAGCAGAGAGATTGCAGCCTTCTTCCCTGACTTCAGTGAACAGCGCTGGTATGAGGAGGAAGAGCCCCAGTTGCGCTGTGGCCCTGTGTGCTATAGCCCAGAGGGAGGTGTCCACTATGTAGCTGGAACAGGAGACCTAGGACCAGCCTGATGCAGGTCTATGAAGACAGTGCCCAGACTTTTCTCCTAGACGTCTAGTCTAAAACATTTGCCTAGGACCAGGGAAGCCTGGGCTCATACTGCCATTTCTGCTGGGCACCACCACCTGCCTGAGGGCCTAGCTCACTGCAGCACATCCTCCAGAATCTAGCTTTCTATCTACCTCTTCTCTGGAATGTTCATGGTGGTTCAGAAGAATGATGACTCCTCTTTGCTGAGAACTGTTCATCCTTTCTCAAGAAGAAGCTTGCCGGGCCAGGTGCGGTAGCTCATGCCTGTAATCCCAGCACTTTGGGAGGCTGAGGCAGGCAGATCATGAGGTCAGGAGTTCGAGGCCAGCCTGACCAACATGGTGAAACCCCATCTCTACTAAAAATACAAAAATTAGCCGGGCGTGGTGGCTCATGCCTGTAGTCCCAGCTACTCAGAGGCTGAGGCAGGAGAATTGCTTGAACCCAGGAGGCAGAGGGTGCAGTGAGCCGAGATTGTGTCATTGCACTCCAGCCTGGGTGACAGAGCAAGACTGTCTAAAAAAAAAAAAAAAAAGCTTGTCTAATTGACTTGCCTAAAAAATGCAGTGACTCCAAACAACATTTGGCCTGTCTTCCTCAATAAAAGTCAGTGTTCTAAAAAAAAAAAAAAAAAGTCAGTGTTCTCCTGAATCCTTTATGCTGCCACATTTAGGGAACCTTTTCAGGCTTCATCATTCTGACTTCTCAGCAGCATTCAGTATTGCTTCATTCTTCAGAAACACTCTCTTCTCTTGGATTTTCTGATCCCACACTGTTGGTTTTCTCCTCCGTGTTTTTCTTCATCTCCTTTATCAGCTTATGCAAACATTTATTTTCATAAATTCTCTATTCAAGACATGCTGAAAAATGCAAAGATGGTTAAGACATGATTGGGTTCTCAAGTTGCTAATTATGAATTTCGGTAGTCAGCCAACATGTGGCAGAGATGGAGAAGTGCCCTAACAGGTATAAACTCCTGTAGGAGAACAGAGGAAAGAAGGTTTCCTTTGGCTGGGTGAGGAGGTGAAGGAGATAGGATGGAAAGGCTTTTATAAAAGATGTAGCTGGCTTTGGAACTAAGCCTCAGGGTCAAATAGGGTACCTGGGGCACTAGACAGTCTGTTTATTTTCAGGAATATATGGGTCAGTTTGGTATGTGTGTGACCTAAGAAACCTGTGATACTTCTTATGACAGGTCTTGACTTTTCTTTCTCAGTACATGTGTATTTTTCTTTTTGGTGGCCTTGAAACCTTTGAGCTTGAAAAATTCCCTTCACCATCTACCACTTTCACTAATGGTAGACCAGGAAATTTGGACCCACTGAACATAAAGGAGAAACAGCTAGAAAAGCTGTGCCAAAATATAAACAGCATCTGTCTAAAACATCAGCTGGCAATTATAGAACCAAAATTCCGGACAAGAAGGAAACTCAGAGAAGTGAGGCTGGACTTAGAGCCACTTTTCCCATAAGGGCACCTGCTGATTCTGGAAGAGGCAGCTGAGAGGCTAAGAAGCTGGAGCAGAACTTTCAAGAAA